GCTTCAGATGAGTTTTAAGACTTCAAGATATCCTATTTTACATTATATTTATTACTAAGGAACCATTACTTTTAAAATTAATAGTTCACTATATTCTAACCAACTGTCTTGTCTAAATCACAATTAATTGTGACTATAAATCTGTAGATTTACAGAAACCTAATGTAAGAGAAGTCCTTGTTTAAAAAAAAGGATGATGCCAATTATTGATCTCTGCTGACTATATTACATTTCTGAAATTACGCTGTCTCAGTTATCTATTGCATCACAAACCATAGTTTCTTACAAGAGCGATTATTTTTTTGCCCAGGGTTCAGAGGGGTCAGGATTCAGAGTTCTGGTGAAACTCTGCTTTGTGTGGAGTCAGCTGGGTAATTCAGGGGGCTATATCCAGCTAGGGGCTGGGCTGGGCTAAGTTAGGTAGGAAAGTCCAAGATGACCTTCCATGTCTGGGGCCTTGGGACTGGTTTTCTTCTGTTAAGTGGTCTATTATCCTCCAGGGCCTCTCTCCCCAGCCAGTGAGCCTGGATTTCTTAACATGGAGGATGGGTTCCAAGAGAGCAAGAATGGGTGCTGGAAGGCCTCTTAAGACTGAGGCCCTAAAACTTGAACAATGTTAGTTCTTCCACATTCTATTAGTCAAAGCAAATCACAAGATCAGCCCATAATCCAGGGGGGTGAAAAAATAGGCTCCATTTCTTGGGAGGAAGAATGATAACGTGTTATTGCAAAGGGTTGAGGACCTAGGAAGGAGTGATTCGTTTCAGGCCATTATTATAGAACAATGATCTGCTGCATATACTAACACCAAAATCTAGTTTCTCAAAGATCAATTAAGCTGGGTAGGTAGTTGGAAGAATATAGTCCATGCCATTCAGTAAAAATGTTGTTATGTAAGATAAAGAAAGCATAAATGACTAGAATGCTATGAAAACTTCAGAGTGTGCAGATGTATTTAGATTTCTTATTTATTATTGCAATGACCCTAACTATTGAGGCCAGTAATGTCTTGCTTGACAATGAAAAAACTAATTTGTCTTTAACATTTTGTATAATATCCTCCACCTGTCAGCCTTCTAAGTCAGTTCTGGTTAACATTGCTTGCTATTTTGTGGTTGAATAGGAGGAAGTTGTGTCCCTCCTGCAGAAATAGAGAAACAAGAGACTTGGTCTAAGGTGAAGATGCTGTGTGCACAGGGATACTATGTCAGAGATCCCAGGAAGTGTTTGGGAATATTGGTGTCAAAGGTCATCTACGTTTACTTTTGTTTATTTACCCTGCTGGCATGTCCCTTTTGAGTCAGACAAAAAATCCAAAGAAAATGAAAGAAACTGTCATTTAAAGTTACTCTTTATAAAAAACGGTTCATGCTACTGGTTATTAATTAAGTGCTATCAGTTAATTGGCAATTGTTTCCATAGAAGTGGCTTCCTTCTATGAACGTAGCCATGCCCGAAGTCATTGCTTTTATGCCAGAAGCATTCTCGATCCTGATACATTCATCGCTTATACTTGTAGATCCTACAAATCTTTTAAAGCAGTAAGTAAGCATTTTACTTGGAATTTAATTAGAAAGTAATTTTTTGAAACATGATCAACTAGCTAAACATTAGGGCTTTGAGTAGACAGCAAAAAATGCATCTGCCATTTTGGGAAATAATGGCTTGTTTCTCTGCTGAGTACTGCACAGTAGCTAGGATTGCTGGTGGGTTGAAGTAACTAAACCAACGATTTGTATTCTCGTTGTTTCAGGTCTTTTGAAGATTATATCCAATTCTGCTTCTTTGGCCATTTGTTATGCAGTAATTAGATGCTACTATGTAACAGGCATAAGTCCAGGGCAACAATTTTTGTGTATATATATATTTAAATGTCATCTTCAAAGATGCCCTGAGAAGGCTGAACCAATCAATAGCTACAAGCAAACATATTACTATTTACTAGGAACATGAAAATTATTTTATTAAAATTTAATTATTTATACAGAGTAGAAATAAGGCATAGCCAGCACACAGGAGTTCCATACAGATCAATGCATGACAAAATATCAAATCTGATTTTGCTCATGTCATAAAGCATGCTGTGCCAGATCTGAGCTAAATGTATTTTTCATTTGGTTATCACTATGAAAAGGAGAAAGAAAATCTATTTTGTAGTGGGAAATAGAAAAGATTTTTATTCTTGTGCTTTAGAGATCTAATCCCCTGTTTTATCAGCTGGGCTTTCCAGTTTGAAGTGTATTGTACGTAATAGCACTTTGGGAATACATGTGGCGTTGGGACCGGAATAAGC